GCCTGGCATATGTGCATACATACATGCATGTGCATGCATGCATGCATGCATGCACACACACGTGTACACAGATGCACGCATATACATGTGTATACACACATATATAACATGTATGTATATGGGGGTGGAAAGCTAAACCAAACTTTTCCACTGAAGGGTATGATGCCTGGCTGAGCTCATTGGAGTAAAATCTGAACTAGACACTCTAAAATTGTTAATCTCTTCAGAAATCAAGAAGGAACTTAATTTTTACAATCTCAATAAAACATCCAATAGTTCGTAGTTCATTCACATAGAGCCAATTCCCAAAGAGCAGGGTGTGTGACAGTGTGAGTAATCAGTGTGGAAGACCGTGCCTTGTTGCCTCTGTCAGGGGTGGCAATCATAGCCAAGGGTTCTGACCAGCGGGGTCAAGGTAGTTCTTAGCGATCTTATCCTTCTTTGGTTTGGAAAGGGTTCTCCACCTCTCCTCTAACTCAACCCAAACTAAGAGGCACACAGTACTAGAGGCCCCAGGTTTCCCAAGAAGCCTGTGGCAGCTTCTCAAACAGGATTAGGTTTAGAGTCCTTGTGAGGGCACCATGAAAATGGCAGGTCTCCCTTTCCTTAGTTTGATTGAAATCTTTGCAGCTGCAGGAATTATAACGGGAAAATTAACTAAAATCCAGTCATTCAACAGATAGTTTGGAGTAGAAAATGTACACACTGCCTGTTTGGTTTTAAGTGGGGTACTGAAAATCCAGGTACAGAGAAAAATGACTTTTGGGTTTAGGGAGTTTATGTTCTGGTGGGAATTTGATGGGAAAGATGAGTAGATAAAAAGAATGCAGTTTTTCATATGGGCTTCAAAGACATGGTTAGGGACAGGTTTGCTAGGTAGAGATGGGTGTTTGAAGCGGACATGTTGCCTGCGCCCAGCGTGGGGATGTGACAGAGGTCAGCACATAAGGGGAGCCTGCAAGCAGCACTTCACGCATGCGTGAGAAATAAGACACGAAATAAAAGTGGCTCGAGTGATAAAGGAACATGAGACAATTGAGATTCAAAGGCACGAGTTAAAGATCGGAACCGAGTGTCCTACCAGTGTGTGAAAAAAAAAAAACCATCTCCAGACAGCCTAATACAAGGCAGAATTCTACAGATAAAGAAATGATTTTAAAAGCTTTTTAGAAAAAAAATGTAAAAAGGTTTAGAAATCAGAATGGCATCAGCCTGCTCCATAGCTGCATATAAAATAAAAAGAAGGGCTGAAGAGATGGCTCAGCAGTTAAGAACATTTGTTGTTCTTTCAAGGGACGTGGGTTCCATTCCCAGCACCCCCAGGGAGGCTGGCATCTGTCTATAACTAATTCCAGAGGATCTATTGCTTTCTTCTGAACACTGCAGGCACCAGGCATGTACGAGGTGCACATACATACATGCAAGCAAAACACTCATACACATACAATAAAAAAAAAATCTTTGAGGAAAAAAAATTAGATGAGAGAGATGGCTCAGTGGTTAAGAGTACTTGCTGCTCTTGCAGAGGACCCAGGTTCAGTTCCCAGCACCCACATGGTGGCTCGCAACCACCTGTGACTCTATTTCTGGGAGATCTGATGACTCCTTCAGCTTCTGTGCACCCCAGACACACATGCAGGCAGAGCATTCACACTCACAAAATGAATGGATAAGTTCATTAGAAGAAAATGAAATAATACTTTCACAATTACATAAAGGTTAATATCCTTCCTAGAACAGCAGACAGGTTCCTAGTGGAGACTCAGAGACCCCCATTCTCTGCCCTCTACTCAGAGAGCCAGTAGAAGATGTGTGTTGTCAAGGTGCAGACATAAGTCCAGAAAGAGGAACTGAAGATCCAGGGGCAGCGTTTTTCCCCAGAGGGTGAAAGAGGAAGGTCTTTGAATGGCATAGGGGATGAAATCTCAGTTACAGTCTGGCCTGGGAAGCAACCATTCCAGTCAGACTGATGTAACTGAAGTTTTTCTGTGTCCTGCATGGTCCACAGCTGCTCAGACCCAAGTAAACACACAGAGGCTTATATTAATTAAAACTGTTCGGCCATTAGCTAAGGCTTTCCACTGACTAGCTCTTATATTTAAACTCAGCCCATTTCTGTTAATCTATATGTTGCCACATGTTCTGTGGCTTTACCTTTACATGCTGCTCCCTGGGACGGCAGGCTGGTATCTACTCACTCAGCCTTCCACTTCCCAGAATTCTCCTTGTCTGTTTATCCCGCCTATACTTCCTGCCTGGCTACTGGCCAATCAGTATTTTATTTATCAACCAATCAGAGCAACACATTTACAGCATTCAGAACATCCCATAGCAGACTGAATCAAGATGAAGTGTTTAGAAAGAATGTTTCAATGAAAACCAGCATCTTCTTCCTCCAGGATAACAGAGAATGAAGGAAGAAGATCCTGGTGTTGTTTTGTTGTTGTTTATTTGTTTTATTTTGTTTTGTTTTTTTAACTTTGTTGGGAGTTTTGCAGTTCCTGGGAGAATTTGATGAGTTGGATAAGTTTATCAGTAGTATGAAAAGCTAAACAAACAATAGAACACAAAAACAGAGCAACTAATAACTCCAGGAGAAACAAAAAGTTATCCAAGGAAAATATAATTGCTGCATGGCAGTGCTGGGAATAATATTGACTTTGCAAGACTACTATCAACTGCGAATATTGACTTAGCCAAATGTTGAGGTTGTAAACAGAGGGTTAGAACAGTATAGAACCTGAGTGTATGGAGGTTGAGGATGGTGTGTAAGAACTGAATCCCTCACAGGGAGTTGTAACAAGATCTAAAATGGAAAGAGTTAAGAAGCTATAATATTTAAGCACATGACTTAGAAATGTGATGAATAAGAGAAAATGCTCAAAGGACCTGATATGAGTCCCTTTCTCAGCAGTGAGAGTTGAGGGGGGAATAGGGAGACCGTGGATTTGCATTGTCTTATAAGCTCCGCAGTCCAGTTTAAATTCTTATAGTGGATAAAATTAACTGTAAAGACATAGACCTGTCCTTGGCTGTCCTCTGGAGATCTAGCATACAGTGTTTGACATTTATTGTAAAAGCTTTTGCTTTGCACACACTGTCTGTTGGCACATCCACCTACATTTTCTGTAAACCTCTTCTGCAGTTAACTCTGAATTGTAGTGAGTCTGGGAAATTGCTGAATTAAATGTAGCAATAGACTGTGTCTGTGTTCCTCACAGCCACCCCCTCCCTCTGTTTTTGTGTCGACTCAATCTTCTAAACATTAGAGGGTAAACAAATCGCTTCGTTTTTTTCTTTCTTGCCTTCTCCCCAAAGTGGAGCCGACTTGGACTTCGCATAAGAAATCAACATTCTTCAGTGAGCTGATGTTCCTAAAATGGGGTAGCTAAGCCAGCTGCGCACTGAGATCTCTGAGCTGCCTGTGTGCATCTCTCGGCAAAGCCCTGCATGGTAGATGGAGAAACTGTGAATTTATAGTCTGTTACAGACTGTATACAGACTGTTTCCTTCTACCTTTTATTTTGAAAGAAAAAAAATCAGACTTCATAGAAAATGGCCGGGGTAGTGAAATGCCTATTCATTTTTCTGATTTGTAGCTCTTAATTTTGCCACATTTCTTTCTCCCTCTTACACACTTGTGTTCCCCTTCCCTCGTGTGTTTTGGGGGTCAGAATCATCTTAAAATAAGTGGCAGGCATCATATTCAGTATGTCTTATAGGGGATAAATTCAGAGTGACCACACATTTTATTTCATCATAGATGTCTTTAAGTTCTTTCTTTTTCTTTCTTTCTTTTCTTTTTTCTTTTTCTTTTTTGATTTTTCAAGACAGGGTATCTCTGTGTAGCTTTGGTGCCTGTCCTGGAACTCACTCTGTAGCCCAGGCTGGCCTCGAACTCACAGAGATCTGCCTGCCTCTGCCTCTCGAGTGCTGGGATTAAAGGCATGCACCACAACCGTTGGATTAAGTTCTTATATAGATGTTTTTCTTTTTACGTGTTAAGTCTTTCATGATGGTGACCATTAGGAGCATAAGCCAATTTTTTTTTAGAATGTCCTCAAATATAGGTTCACCTTTTTTGCTCCAAGATTGTAATATTGTGCTTTACAGTTACAGAAAGGATGCATATCCAGATTCTTTTATCCACCTCCTGTAGCTTTTTATGCTTGCTCAAAAGCTTACTCCATCATTTGTGTGTTTTGAGTTTTGTTTTTCCCGATAATTTATGGTTTGGCATAGAGAATTAAGAATGGACACATACCTGGGGAAGAGTAAGAACCCTTCAATCATAGAGAATCTCACTGCAGTAATCTCTGGGAGGGGTCATCGGTTCCTCTGGAAACAAGCATAATATTTTTTTAACATCTTTGGCAGTATTCTTTGGGTGACTTAATATATTGTAATCAGGGACAACGTCTCTTAGAAAATCGGTTCTGCTATGGTGTGCAGCCTAGTGAGACACGTTTGGAAGCCCTTGGCCAGCTTTCCTTTGACTGCTAAGTGCAATCTCGTTTGGAGTCTAAACACTGAACGCGTGTTTACTTTGTATGTTTTGGCTGTGCCGGCGCTAGGATGCTGGGAGGCTTAGGCTGTGTCTGCTTCCTGTGAAGCAAGGGCAACATGGAGAGATGGCATGCCACGCATGCCAGAAGAACTGTGCAAGCCTACTGTTGAAAGCATGGTTTCTGTGTGTCAGGGCTTCCTGGTAGGAGACCTGATGACACAGTGGCCTTTAGGCAGAGCTCCTCGGGATGTGTAGGAAGTGCTATGACAGGTTCTGTTGGGGGGAAGTCTGAGCCATTCCCAAGCCTGGACAAGCTGCTCTTGAATTTTGCACTGGCTGCCAGGGTGAGCGTTTTCATTTCGATGTGTCTGTCTCGCTTTTCTTCCTGACGTCGGCATGGTCTTTCTGGAAGTTTCACGGGACTTGTTATAAATATCTCCAGCGGGACTCTACTCTGTTTGCGGTTCGTCATTTCTCTTCTTTCTCTCTCCAGATTTTGTGGACGTTTACTACTTTGTCATTATGAGATGTCGTCTCTCGGTGCCTCCTTTGTGCAAATTAAATTTGACGACTTGCAGTTTTTTGAAAACTGCGGTGGAGGAAGTTTTGGGAGCGTTTATCGAGCCAAATGGATATCACAGGACAAGGAGGTGGCTGTCAAGAAGTTACTCAAAATAGAGAAAGAGGTAAGATCGTCTGCTACCGGAGGCGTCCACAGGAGCCCTTATGTAAGCCTTTCAACCTAGAGTTAGAGGGCCACAGAGCTGGAAGGGATCTGGCAGGTCCTTTGGGGCTGGTCCGTGAGGCTCTTTCCCAATTTCCATTCTGGGAACCCCATAAATAGAAAATACTGCAGTGTGTGCTTCAGGGCTGAGTTCTACTGGGGGTCATCTGAAGCTAGAGGATTTCTTTCCATGGTATAAAAAAGCCGGGATCCTCTGCTGGCTGTCCTACAGACAGACACAGGCGGGTTGGAGCATTTCACTTCCCAGGGCAGCCAAGAGGGGGCAGTACAGAGAAGCAGGTAGCATTTTCATTGCTTACCATCTGCACCCCTTGCGTTGGGGGTGGTCCCTAGCTGTTATCTTTAAAAAAAAAAAGCAAAGAGTATTATTTTTCTACTGAATTAAGCAATACTGGCGTATTAGGTTTCGCCTCACAGTGGTGCGTTTCGTGAAATAAAGAATTAGGCACTGACAGAACTGCCTTTCCTTGTAAAATCAGAATAAGGTCTTGTCTTTTAGAGTCTGGAACTCGTCTTGCATGTAGATGAGCCCTGAACTCTTAGAATCTTTATCTTTCTTAGGAATATGACACACACACCCCACTGCCACTACGTTCAGTTTGATATCTCAAGAATTAAATAATTTGTATAGCTGACCCAAAGAAGTGAAGCTTGGTAATTTTCTCTTTAGAGTACTTTCTAAAAATTTAAATGTCCTTTTAACTGATCATAAGAACACATACACAAAAATGAATGTTTCAATACGTGTGTGCATTCCATGTTTCAGTCATTATATCCATTGTCTTGTTTAACATTTCTTTTATGGTGTAAACATTCAGATGTCTCTCCTTTGACTTTTTGAAATATACAGTGTATTGCCATTATCTGTGGTTGCCCTGCTGGTAGCTTTTAAGACTTACCCTTTGCTTATTTTGGCCATTATTTTTTATGTCCAGTTTTCACTAAGTATTGTTCCTTTCAAGTGAACTTTTCCATAAATATGTGTTCTTCCCCCAAAGTGATCTTATTGTTATCATTGACTGCCACCAGTGACCCCTCATGACTGGGTAGAGTTGTGAATCCAGTGTTAGCATCGCAACTCCCCCCAACCCCCGCCCTAGTATGCTATGTTGGAGGTCCTCTGCCCGCTCTCCCATTGTTGAAACCAGGACGGTGGCACTGAGGTGTCTCTGCTGCGGGCTGTCTGTAGGTTTTACACAAAGCAGAAGGATACTAAGTAAAGACGAGTTCTTGCATTAGAATCATTTCTGATACTGGATTCTTTGATCTAGTAAGCTTGTATTATTGCCCCAGCTTTATAGATTGGAAGTAGAGCATGGGGAAATGTAGCGGCCACCCCAGTAGGAGGGGCAGGTAGAATTCAGGAGGCCAGGCTTCCTGTTCTTCAGGATTTTACTCTGAGACCTCTAGCTGACCAGGTGAGAATAGAAAGCAGGCCAATTCTGTCCACTTACATAAGAATGTTAAGTGGTAGGTTGTGGGACTTTGACACAGGAGCTTCTGATATGGTTATTGGATGAGACAGGAAGCTGGTTTTGAAAGGGAGCATTAGTTGCAGCCCATTCACTTTCTACTCTCCATCATATGTGCATACATGGTCCCATTTTTACAGTTTGAGAGGCCAAGAGAACGACACAGGAAAGCCCTGGGTGAAAGTGAGCGTTGGAAGCTGCCAGATCCTGCTTTTCTATTGCAAGAGTAGAACTCATAAACTTGTGAGCAGGAAAAGCAGAAACTCCACTTCCGCTTAGGGGCCTGTTGTCATCAGAGATGGTCATTATTCGTCTCCTTGCCAGGCACCCCACGCTGCCAAATAAACAGGAGTCCAATGTGAAAGTCTGCTGGAGCCGTGGTGGGTATTGGAGGGGAAGTGTGAATCCCTTGTGGACCTGTATTTTATAAGATATGCGTTGGCTACTGGCTAGGCACTTTTTAAGTGATAAGATAAAGGTGATAAATGCTAACCACCCCGTCCCCACCCCCGAAACTCCACCCTCCCACCCCCCACTCTCCACCCCATTTATACACTCAATCCTAAGCTTCTTGGGCATTGTTTTTCTCACTTCATAGGATTCTTTGAGAATTACCTGACATTTGACTAAATGTATGTTTTGTGAACTTGGTCAAATGTGGAGAATGTACATGACATTCTTTTTTTTTTTTTTTTTGGTTTTTCTAGACAGAGTTTCTCTGTGTAACAGCTCTGACTGTCCTGGAACTCATTTTGTAGATCAGGCTGGCCTCCAGCTCCACCTGCCTCCCAAATGCTGGGGTTTTAAGTGCATGTGCCACTACCACCCAGAAAATTGTTTATTTTTTTATGGGGAATTGAACTGGGTCCTCTGGAAAAGCAGCCAGTGCTCTGAACCACTGAGCCATCTCTCCAGCCCATGCCAAATTCTTAAACGTGGCTTGTGTGACTATTGGCACCTCATTTGTGACCTCTAGTGTAGTGAGGATATGGCACTTCCCCGTATTTCAGAAAGTACATGTTGCCTTTCTACTGAAAATGCATTTACTTAAAATGTTTTTAAAAACTATTTAAAGCAAACACCAAGAAAAGTTACAAGACTGCTGTGACCTCTCTAATACCACTTAAGCCTACCACTTAGTGACATTTTGCAACATCTGCCTTTTGTCTTCATTTATGCTATTAGTTTATATGCAGTTATGATTACTTTTTTTGTCTGGTTGTGAGAATAAATTATAGATGCTATATGTATTTATTCAGAGTATTTCAGCATCTCTTAAGGATCCAGTTAACAAGGTCAGGAAGTTGAGTGGTCATATCACTTTTATTGGATAGTCCACCTTCAGATCTTGCCATTTGTCCCAAGACTTTTATGCGAATCTTTTCCAGCCCAGGATGCACTCCAGGATGACAGATGGCATCTAGCTGATGTGTCTGTTTAGTCTGTTTTAGCCGGGAGCAGTTTCCCTGCCTTTCTTTGCCTTTTAAGACTTCGACAGTTTGGAAAAACAGAGAACACTCGTTTTGCAGAATGCTCTTGTTTTGGACTTACCGATTTCCCCCTCGTTTGGCTTATGTGGTTGTGGTGGGAATGTCGTAGGGGTTGTGTGTCCTTAGTGGTCCTTGGTGCAGTGTTGTGGGAGTCGCTTGACTTAGTTTTGGTGATGTTACTTTTGGACCCCTGGGTATGCGCTCACTCAGTTCCTCTGCAGTGAAAATACCTATTTGTCTTTTGTAATTGGCTGTTGGGAGCTGCTTTGCAGCTATATGAATATCTTTCCACAGCTTTGCATCTCTTGATGATTCTGTCTTAGGTAGAACGTTACCACGATAGCCTACTGTGGTAAGAGCAAGTTCCCTCCTTCTGAGCTTTCCCCCCCTGTTCCTTCTTCTGAGCTTTTCCCCTGTTCCTCCTTCTGGCCTCCCCTTTATATACTGGCCAATTGGCTTGTTTGTTTATAGACAGTTTTACACTTCACAGTGACACACTCCATTACACCTACGCATCTCTGTGTTTAAGTTATGTACAGCTTGGCTAGTAAGGGATCCTTCAGGCTGGCTTCTGTCTTTTGACATGCGCTGTTGAGTTTTGCCGATTTCCTTACTTCCTGTCTCTCCTAGCTCCTGTCCCCTGCTGGGGCAGCCATTCCTGCAGGAAGTCTGGGTCAGCACCCCTGACTTGGATTCAGCATTTAGGAACCAAAGTGGAGGACTACCAGGGGTGCCTACTTTAGGCCTTTTGAAAAGGAGCCTTTGTTTCTTAGCAGCAATGAAAGTGACACATTTTATTTATGAGATTGTTTAGAGTTTAGACTCAGGCCTCTGGGTGGACAGGTTCTGGGATGTGCTCCTTCTGGAGGCGGGTTTAGAAAAGGGGAGCACATGGAAGCAGGTCTCAAATGGTTCCTTCCCGAGTCAGAAGTTGTACTTCCGGGACTTTTTCTAAGTCAGTCAGTGGTGTGTGGGGATCCGTGTCCGGTGGGCGATGGCGAGGACTTGGGGACAACCTGGGCAGTGCCATCACATGCCCTTGGGAAAATGCTGGCTTTATTGGAGTGAAGTGGGCAAGACAGTTTCTAAAACATGTATATGCTTGGTGTCTGTGTGCTGCCTTTATTTTTCCTGGGTGTCTGTGGTTCTCTATGATTTCATGTTTTCCTTCAACATTTTATTATGAAAAATTTCAAACATAAAGTGAATTTCACTGTGAAATCCATATATACAACATATGGAATATATAGTTAACAAAAATACTTCATCATGCCAGTGGTGGGTGCACACCTTTAATCCCAGCACTCGGGAGGCAGAGGCAGGCGGATCTCTGTGAGTTCCAGGCCAACCTGGGCTGCAGAGTGAGTTCCAGGAAAGGTGCCAAAGCTACACAGAGAAACCCTGTCTCAAAAAACTAAAAAAAAACAAAAACAAAAACCCAACTTCATAACATGTATGGCCAGCTCTCTACCCTCTACCCTCCCTCTTACTCATCCATCTGTCTGCTGCATTTCACGGCAGCAGCCAGCATCAGTACCCCTCGCCTTCAGTCAGCCATCGCGTGTACTACTTACTGATCCAGCTCAGCCATCGCGTGTACTACTTACTGATCCAGCTCAGTTGTAGTTACAGTTTGGTTTTCTTCTGTGGTAGACATACATGCCACTAAGGTTTTAGAAATGAGGATTGACTGTGACATATATTTACATTTCTAATCAGAAAAATACAATTTGAAAAGTGCAGTTTTGACAATCTGAAGCAATATCTCGGGATTGTCAAGTGAACTGAGCTTCGTAAACTGTTAGTGGCTCATACAACCCTAATTTTCCAGGCTCGGTGTCGGTCTCTGACATGTGGGGCATTTCCTTTCACATTGCTGTCCCACCGCAGAGCCCCCGGAGCTCAGGACTCAGTTGTTTACATTTTTTATGAATGTACCTACAGTACACTGTTTCTTTTTGCTTGAAAAATGTTTACGA